GTGTCAAGCCACTCTTGAACCACAGACAGCGTCAGAAGCGTCTTGCCTGGGCTAAAGAGAAACAGGACTGGACTGCTGGTGAGTGGTCCAAAGTCATGTTCTCTGATGAAAGTAAATTTTGCATTTCCTTTGGAAATCAAGGTCCCAGAGTCTGGAGGAAAAGAAGAGAGGCACTTCATCCACGTTGCTTGAAGTCCAGTGTAAAGTTTTCACAGTCAGTGATGGTTTGGGGTGCCATGTCATCTGCTGGTGTTGGTCCATTGTGTTTTCTGAGGTCCAGGGTCAACGCAGCCACATACCAGGAAGTTTTAGAGCACTTCATGCTTCCTGCAGCTGACCAACTTTTTGGAGATGCAGATTTCATTTTCCAACAGGACTTGGCACCTGCACACAGTGCCAAAGCTACCAGTACCTGGTTGAAGGACCATGGTATCCCTGTTCTTAATTGGCCAGCAAACTCTCCTGACCTTAACCCCATAGAAAATCTATGGGGTATTGTGAAGAAGAAGATGCAATACACCAGACCCAACAATTCAGAAGAGCTAAAAGCCACTATTAGAGCAACCTGGGCTATCATAACACCTGAGCAGTGCCACAGACTGATCGACTCCATGCCACGCCGCATTGCTGCAGTAATACAGGCCAAAGGAGGCCCAACTAAATACTGAGTGCTGTACATGCTCATACTTTTCATGTTCATACTTTTCAGTTGGCCAACATTTCTATAAATCCTTTGTTTTTATTGGTCTTCAGTAATATTCTAATTTTCTGATATGATGAATTTGAGATTTTCATTTGTTGTCATTTGTAATCATCAAAATTAAACAAAATAAACATCTGAAATATATGAGTTTGTATGTAATGTATGAATATAATATACAAGTTTCACTTTTTAAATGGAATTACTGAAATCAATCAACTTTTTCATGATATTCTAATTTTATGACCAGCACCTGTAGTTTAACTCCAGTATGAAACCAGCTGTTTTCTGAAGGCCTCAGATGTCCAGTCAAAGAATATCAGTGAAAAAAACAGCATCGTAAATAACAGCTTACAAAGAAGGGATATAAGAACTTTCAAAAACAGTAGCTTTGGAAGAGGTAGAGAGAGCCCCCGCTCAGGTAGGAGAATTTCTTGCCAAAACTACGGCGGCCGGGAAGTGCAAACCAACAATACAAAATCTGAAACACTTTTACAAATCTTGAAACAACTTTACATTTGAGAAAACAAATTTACAACAAACGAAACACTTTTACAACCTGCCAGCAAATGTAAATTTAGAAAAAAAAATTTCTTTGAGAATTATGTTGTTACAAACAATGTCTGCTAAAGATTTGTAGACTTACTGAAATACAAACAACCGCACCTGGACTATGAAGACCTCACTGTTCAAAAGGGCACAGAAGCGCATGTACTGCCTGCGGAGGATGAGGAGACCCCACCTGGCCCCATCCTTTCTCACCACCTTCTACAGAAGCACCATAGAAAGCATTCTGACCAGCTGTCTCACTGTGTGGTGTGGAGGCTGCAGCGCCTCAGACTGGAAGAAAGTGAGGAGAGTGGTGAGAACAGCAGAGAGGATCATTGGGGCTCCTCTTCCCTCCATTAAAGATATTTCATCCAAGCGCTGCGTGTCCCGAGCTCGTAACATCATCAGCCACCATGGACTGTTCTCCCTGCTGCCTTGTGGGAAGAGACTTCACACCATTCCATGCAGGTCAAACAGGTTCTGTAAAAGCTTTTTCCCCACTGCTATCACACTGTTGAAAAAAAATTCTGCATCACACCGATAACATCATACCAAATAGAACTCAACTCAAATGTTTTCAACTGCATTTTTGCACCATATCTATTTTTTTGTTTTTGCACTATTCTGAGCTTCCACATTAATGTCTTTTTGCACCCACACTGTTTACATTTTGATCACAGCTGCACTTTATGAATGGAAATTTTATTTTTTACTGCTGGGCAGCTGCTCATTCACGGTCTACACTCGGTGTATACAAAATGACAATAAAGTTTGTCTAAGTCTATGTATATCAAATCAATACTTGGTAGGGTTAATTTTTTTCAATGAATTACTGCATTGATACAGTGGTATGGAGGTCATCAGCTTGTGAAAAACATCTTTCTTGAATACTCAACTTGTCTGAATTTATTACTTTTTTCTATCTTTCTCTAGTCAGTACTCCGTAGATTCTTAAAGAGGTTTTGTTCAGACCAGTTTGATTGTCAGTAAAGCACAGAAAGAACATGTTTATTAAAGTAGTTTCTGGCCTTTTTTGGTAGTAAGGGCAGTGGGTATGGACCAGGCATGTGCACAGGGGGCATGGTCCCCCTTGTGGTCCAATTGTCGAAAAACCTGTGCCCTTTGCCTACAAAACCTGTGTTAAAGTGTTCTCTTAGGAGTCAAAACATGTGCTTAAGTGTCCTCTTGGGAGCCAAAATGCGCAATAAAGTTCCCTGTGGATCCAAAGCACTTGCTAAACTGTCCTGTCAGGGGCCAAAACTCATGATAAAGTACCCTCTCTAGAGCGAAAGAGCTTGACAAAATGTCCTCTCAGAAGCTAAATCATGTAATAACATGCCCTCTTGGGAGCCAAGGCGCTTGCTAAAGTGCCCTCTCTGGAGCCAAAGGCATGATAAAGGAGCTAAAATTCATGAGAAAGTGCCCACTCTGAGGTCAAATTCCCACTCTGAGGCCAAATACGTGTTAAAATGTCCACAGGAGCCTAAATCATTGCCAAAGTGTCCTCTGGAGTCAAACCTCTTTTGGGGACAAAACAAATGATAAAGTTCCCTGTGGGGCCAAAGCTCTAGCTAAACTGTGCTCTCCAGAGCAAAATGCTTTTGGCGCCCTCTCTGGAGCCAAGGTCCTTGGTAAAATGCCCTATCTAAAGCCAAAAGGCATAATAAAGTATCCTGTTGGGGTAGGGGTTGCTAAAAACCTGATAAAGTTCCCAATCTGGGGCCAAACGTGTGTTAAAGTGTCTTTGGGAGCAAGAGCCTGTGTTGAGCTGCCGTCTTGTGAGTCAAAATGCATCGTAATATGCCTTCTCTGGAGCTAAAACGGGTGATAAAGTGCCATCTCTGGTGCCAAAACTAATGTTAAAGTGCCCTCTACATTGGTGCAGACACCTTATATGTGCCATTTTCTTCCAATAGTAGGCACCATGTCCTCGTGGAAAATAAAATAATTAAATCTAAAAGTGTCTGGATGGCTTTCAACAGCAGATGTAGTATCTATTAATACATTACATTTACTTGTGTAATTTTTTGAACGTACTTCTAAGAATAGTTTAACTTTTTCTTTATTACAGTTGTAGGGAATTTCCGAATTCTCCCAAGTGGCGCCCGACTTCACACAAATAAATTAAGTGAATTATAATTTCCTTTTTTTTTTTTTATAGAAATGTTTTAACTTTAAGGACAATATGGTCTGATAAAGAGTAGATCTATATACACGTTTAAACCAAAATTATTTGAAATTTAAATATGACTTCCCTATGACTTTAATGTCATTACAATTTACCTTTACTCTTACTTGAGAAGAAAATTTGGAGCTGACTACAATGATCTTACAGTTGCTACTTTTTCAGCTGTTTTGCACCTTTTTTTGTCATGATCGGTTTAGAGATAAACCCACATGCAGAACACCACTGAGACTTGGTAAAAGGTTTAACAGAGTTTATTAAAGTTTCACACAAACAAGACAAGATTCAGGTCCTGGTCCGGGCAGGATTCTCTGGCCTCTGCAGAGACGGATAGTTGGTTAGCTGGGTATGCAGATAAGTTAAATGGGTTTTCAGATATTTCAGTGGATACCTTGAAGAGGTCCAGGTTTGTTCTGAGAGAGGGAACCGGTTGGGTCCAGAGACTGTTGGTTCAGCAGAGTGCTTAGGCAGCAGCAGCGTCTTACTTCTGACTTCCAGTGAACAGACCTTGATTGAAGTGATTAGCTCTTTCCCAAGAGCAGAAGGTGGATTCCAGAATGTAGTCTTCAGGTTTGGCTCTCTAGGGCAGGCAGGCAGATTCAGGTTAAGCTCATCCAGAGCTTCTCTCGAGAGACTGGTTTCCTAGGAGCGAGAGGACAGAGGCAATTAGAATAAGGTTTCTCTAGGAAGATAACTATTAGTAAATTCAGAGGCTCAGGTTCGCTAACCAAACTTGGCTAACACTGCGGTGTCGAAGCAAGGTCTGGCAGCTGCTTATAAAGACCGGTCTCCTGATGAGCTGATGAGCGTCAGCTGTGCTGGAGGGCTCCAGCCCAGGAGGATCCACAGCGAATCTCCAGATCCCAACATTTTTAACCAAAGTTTTTCCTTCCACACTTTACTGTCTCTGAACAGTCATCTTCTATAGTGATGACAGATTGCGAGCTTCCATCCTAGTCAACACAGCATCCATTATGATGGTACACATCATTACATTATATTCTGTATTGGTAAGGAGTTGTTAAAGATTTTAAGTACTTTTATTTATTTTTTTACTTCTTTTTTTTTTTACGAAATATGACTTGTTGAGTTTCAGTTTTGGTATTGAATCTTAAAAATAAATAATTTTTTTCTCCTGGAGTACAGAACTTGATAAGATATGTGCTATACCCTCTACAATGTGACAGACTAGACCCAATTTCTATTTTTATTATTGCTTTATTGTTTTTTTGTGTTTGCCTGCCTCTTTCTGTTCCCCTGTATGATGCTAAATGCTTGATAACCCGCATTTAAGGCAATAAAGAAAGTAAATAAATAAATAATTAAGTAAATTTTAAGTTATGTGATCCAATATTGACAGCACAATGTGATTCAACCTGTCAAGATAATCGTCATAGTTGTTTCAGCATTTTTTTTTTTTCAGTTCAATTGTATAAAAAACAATGTTTATTCAATCGACAGAGAAAACCTGGCTAAATAATTGGGGGTTTACCGTGAACAGATGCCTCTGGTTTCTCTGACCCAGGACGTCCCACCCGATGGGAGTGGATGTTGCGGATGAGAGCTGAGTTTTCCCAAAGCACACAGTGTGATCACTCTGAGGAGGAGGAACAAACTGAGGAGCTGACTGAGGAGACAAGGTAGGACGCTTAAAAAAAAGCATGAGTTTAATAACTGACAAGAGATAAATCAGTTAAAAATATATTTGTATTAATTAAAAGAACTTGGAAACAGTTGGAATATGCGAAAATATGATTTTTTCTTTTTCTTTTGATGACTTGCTTGACATTTCTTCTACAACTGTTAGACATAAATAGTCTTAAATGAAAACCCCGTAGAAGAGTTTATCGGTTTGTTCTAAATGCAGCTGCTGCTGAGAAGGAAAACTTTAACTCATTTAAGTAGAAGCCGCTTTTTTTCCCCTTTTCACGCAGAAATTAATGCGTGGCTTTCTGCGCGCATGTTCCGAACGATATAAACGCATTTAATGTGCCACTGCTGCAAGGGGAAGCTTCTCTGAAGTTTTTATTTCTGTGCATTCTCGTTAAATTACAGCGCGTCAGCAAGCCTTTCAAAGGAAAAACATAATGCGTCATAAGCAGCTCAGTTAATGCGACAAAAAAAAATGTTTTTTTCAACTCATAGAAAATTTGGGTTTGATGTTTATCTTTATTTTCTAATGTAATTCTTAACTTTCTGCAGTATCTGGTCAAAGTAGATCCAGTCTGTTAGACTTGGAAATTTGTGTAGTTGTATTTTTATATAGTGGTTGGCAGTATATGTTTCGTCTAATCACAATTAATTTACTCAAAGTGTTTTCTCATGAGAGGGAGATTATATATCTCTAAAAACACTACATTGCTTTGCTATTTCAGAGTTCTTCTCTGCAAAATAGTTCTGTGATAGTTTGGAGCAGCGTTATGGGTGCAGAATTCCACCACAAATAAGCAAAACCCTGAGCTGCTTACTGCCACCTAGGTAGACACAACCATTTATTAGGCTTGGTGAGCAATGACTTTTTAAAATTATTGTCAGGCTAGACTGGATTTGTTTTTTCTTTAAAAAAAATGCATCTTGCAATTACTCAGGTTATCAGCTAAAAAAGAACCCACAAGCAATAAAACCTTCAGGAATGCAAGTTCACCAGAAAGCCACAAAAAAGAGGATATATGACCAGGATGTGGGGCGTTTGATGTTTTTCATTTAGAAAAACAAATAACTTATTTTGACCCTCTTTTGATAGTAATAAAGTATGGAGGACCAACTCTGCCATATTTAAAAATAAATACATAAATAAATAAATGCTCAATAAATATATAAGCATACAATTAATTGCCAACAAAAATACAATAAACAAATAAATGTAAGTAGAAATTAAATTATAAAGTGAGACATAAATGTATATAACTCTTATATTCTTCAACTTTATTTTTTAATTACTTATATTTTTAAGTATTGATTTATGTGCGTTATAATATTTTTGTCTGTTTTATTCTTCCACTGTATTTTTTTACCTTAGTTATTTCTTTGCCGCTGTTTATTTCTGTCTGCCCTTTTTACATTTCTCTCTGCCCTTTTTACGTTTCTCTATACATTTCTGTCTCATTATGCAAATGAGGAGGGGGTGTGTCCTAGAGAGTCAACTTCTGCTCATTGGTTGGCTTGGCGGCCCATCTTCTTAACTCACAGAGCTCAGAGTACTAAGTTAAATGTTCTCTTTTCTGTTGCTGTTGTTCAATTAAAGTATGTTTTAAGATCATTTGAGGCGAGAACCTTATACTTTTAAGCATCACCGTATGGCCCATTCACAGATTTAAAATGTGACGAACTTGAGAGGACTGCGGCACCAGCGGAGCTCCGAAGCTGACGGCAGCCAGGTCTAACCGCAGCCCGTCTGCAGCGGCCCTCTGTCGGCATAGCCATGTGTGAAGGACCGCTGGCTATGATGGCGATTTTTTGTTGTATTTGGCAAAGTTTGGCAAAGTCCACTCACGTTCTAATGACTTCAGACTCGACATCAGACTCTCCTCCTGTAGATTCGACCGATGTAGTAAAATGCTAACCAAAATGCTTCACACACGGCTATGCCGAGAGAGGGCCGCTGCAACAAAAAATCGCCATCATCACCAGCGATTCTTCACACATGGCTATGCCGAGAGAGGGCTGCTGCAGACGGGCTGCGGTTAGACCTGGCTGCTGTCAGCTTCGGAGCTCCGCGGTCCTCTCAAGTTCGTCACATTTTCTTTTAAATTACGCATTAAATCTGTGAATGGGCCATATGGTGATGCTTAAAAGTATAATATTCTCGCCTCAAATGATCTTAAAACGCACTTTTATTGAACAACAGAAAAGAGAACATTTAACTTAGTACTCTGAGCTCTGTTAGTTAAGAAGATGGGCCGCCAAGCCAACCAATGAGCAGAAGTTGACTCTCTAGGACACACCCCCTCCTCATTTGCATAATGAGACAGAAATTATTACAGAAATGTAAAAAGGGCAGAGAGAAATGTAAAAAGGGCAGACAGAAATAAACAGCAGCGAAGAAATACCTAAGGTAAAAAAATACAATGGAAGAATAAAACAGACAAAAATATTATAACATGCACATAAATAAATACTTAAAAATATAAGTAATTAAAAAATAAAGTTGAAGAATGTTGCATGTTGCATGTTATAAAAGAGAACATTTAACTTAGTACTCTGAGCTCTGTGAGTTAAGAAGATGGACCGCCAACCCAACCAATGAGCAGAAGTTGACTCTCTAGGACACGCCCCCTCCTCATTTGCATAATGAGACAGAAATGCATAGAGAAATGTAAAAAGGGCAGAGAGAAATAAACAGCGCAAAGAAATAACTAAGGTAAAAAAAATACAGTGGAAGAATAAAACAGACAAAAATATTATAACATGCACATAAATCAATACTTAAAAATATAAGTAATTAAAAAATAAAGTTGAAGAATATAAGAGTTATATACATTTATGTCTCACTTTATAATTTAATTTCTACTTACATTTATTTGTTTATTGTATTTTTGTTGGCAATTAATTGTATGCTTATATATTTATTGAGCATTTATTTATTTATGTATTTATTTTTAAATATGGCAGAGTTGGTCCTCCATAATAAAGGGGTTATATTTTGTATTACTTAATTTATAAGAAGGGACATAGGTAGTCTGAATGATGGATCCAAAGGGTACATATCATCATCCTCACTGTCACATAGACATACCTTCACAAAGTCTGTCGGTGGTTGTTTATTTTGTGTCTTTACAATTAAAATCTGTGTATTTCAATTACAGTCAGCACTTAAATAAATGGTTTAACCCCTGAAGATAGTCTTAAATGAATGGAACAGTACTCACTTATTTACATTTAGTTTTTATATCAGCTTAAATCTACTAGAGAGTATCTGAACATAGAAAAAGCTGCCTTCCTGACTTAACATGAAAGCAATGTAACAAAACTAATGTGAAACTGTGCTCTCCCACTACCATGGTCAACTGCATGGTACCTGCAACATAAGGCGCACCTAAACGTCTTTTTTTCCCCTCAAAATGTGGGGTGCGCCCTATGGTGCGATGCGCCCTATCTGCGGACGTTGTTGAGACCACCATGAGTATGTGAGAACGTTAAAGGGGGAAGTGTGGGCGTGGCTTGTGTATAAAAGAACAGGTATGTGCTTTATGCAGAACATTGTTGTCTTAACAACCCTGGAAATGGCAAAGAGACACGCCTATGAAGCCCAGTTTAAACTGCAGGCTATCAGCTACGCAGAGGAACATGGAAATCGAGCAGCTGCGAGAGAATTCAATATAAATGAATCGATGGTTCGCAAGTGGAGGAAGCTGGAAAACGAACTCCGACAGGTGAAGAAGACGCAGCTGAGTTTCCGCGGACATAAGGCGAGGTGGCCCGAGTTGGAGGAAAGACTCGAGCGGTGGATCGTGGAGCAAAGAACGAGTGGGGCCAGCGTTTCAACGGTCACTGTTCGACTAAAAGCAGTAAAGCTGGCGGAAGAAATGAAAATTGAAAATTTTCAAGGAGGTCCATCGTGGTGCTTCCGTTTTATGAAACGGTGCAATTTTTCCATCCGGACCAGGACTACAGTTGCTCAGCGACGTCCGGCGGATTATGATGAAAAGCTGGCGAGCTTTCACTCCTTCTGCAGCAAACACATCGCTGACAAAGTCATCCAGCCAAGCCACATCACCAACATGGACGAGGTGCCGCTCACTTTCGACATCCCGGTGAATCACACGGTGGAGAAGAAAGGCACCAGCACTGTAGCGATACACACAACGGGGTATGAAAAGGCGTCGTTTACTGTTGTGCTTGGCTGCCACGCAAATGGACAGAAACTGCCGCCTATGGTGATTTTTAAAAGAAAGACTTTGCCTAAAGAGACTTTTCCAGCTGGAGTCGTTATTAAGGCGAATGAAAAAGGCTGGATGGATGAGGAGATTATGAAAGCGTGGCTGAGGGAGGTGTATGTGAGGAGACCAGGTGGTTTTTTCCACGCATCACCATCTCTGTTAATTTGTGACTCCATGCGTGCCCATCTCACAGCCGATGTGAAAAAAAAGGTCAAAGAAATGAACGCTGTGCTTGCTGTTATTCCGGGAGGTCTGACAAAGGACCTTCAACCGCTCGACATCGGTGTGAACCGGCCGTTCAAAGTAAGGCTGCGAGCGCCGTGGGAGCGATGGATGACAGACGGAGAGCACAGTTTCACGAAAAGTGGAAGGCAGCGCCTGGCAAGTTACGCCACCGTTTGCGGATGGATTGTAGATGCTTGGACTAACGTTTCTGCTGGGACTGTTGTTCGAGCTTTCGCAAAAGCCGGCATCATTTCCAAGGAGCCGCACGGCACGGAAAGTGACTCTGACAGCGAAGAAGGGGAAACTGGCATGTCTGATTTAGCGCAGCAGTTTAATTCAGAAACAGAGGATGAGGACTTTGAGGGGTTTGATTAATACTCTGTAATAAATACATGAATAAAGCACAATCATACTCAGTTTTGCTCCCGCTCTATTTTTCTACCTGAAAACTTAATTCAACAGCAGCCTCTAAGCCGGGTCGCCTCCGGGTTCACCTCAGCAGCTGGCAGGTGTTTTTTCATCTAAATAATCTAAAT